GAATATTTTGTGTTAGGTGCTACTACTCAATTTCCATTACTTCATATCGTAACTTATATGGTTTATAGTGAATTGTATAGAACAAGCTAAGTAATAATTTCAACCTCAAAGTCGACAATCAGGTTCAAAAGAATTTCCACATATCTAACCATCGAGAATGTTTAGACAGCACGATCTGAAAAGTGAGAAGCGACGAGCTCAAATGGGCGTAGCTAGGACAGCTCTTGAGAGGCATACAATGCTGCTGCTTACATCATCCAAAACGCTGCTGCGACATCCAGAATCAGAATGTGCTCTTCAATGCAGAGATGGTGTTTTCGACCAGGTAAACTGTTATCTTTTTATTGATGTTATGTTAGAGTCGAATAGCTTGAGTTTACAGATTCGTACCGCGCTGCAGCTTATTGCAATTTGCGTTAGCGATGGGGTAATTCCAATAGATGCAAATCGCTTCGTCCAAACGACTAGCGAAGAGCCTCTTGATATTGGGATACAACTTACCGCAAATGCTGCAATCAAACAGTTAACGGTATGTATCTTTAAATGCTTCTTTTGTTGGAGGAAATGTTTATTGGTTCAGTTTTTGCGCTTGGCCAGTCAGCTGTTATCTCGGTTTTGATGATGTGTACTCTTTTTTGAAGCTAGTTGTTTGTGCGTAATTTGGTTAAAAAGTGATGGTAAGACAATTTTCATCCAGACAAGGACGTGCTATGCTGAGGACTCGATCTTAAGCTCCTGCTATTGTTACTCTGTCAGTTAATTGAATTTTTCTGTAGAATGATAGAGTATCAGGAGCTAAAGTCGGCTGCATAACTGCATTTTATCATAAATTTCTTCCATTACCCGTTCTTGCGCCTGTTCACAAATTAACCTGTAAATATCTAGGAAATGCTTGAAATGGTAAGAATGACATCGAGAGTAGGAGCTGGTGTGCGTGAACGGCTGATTGGAGCTCTTGACGCATTGTGCGAAATGACACAGGTTTGGATTAGATGATCCTCATTGTGAGCTGCTTTTTTCCAACTGTTACTTAGGATTTTACCGACTCCGCTTACACGCCACATCATCATCGAGAACAGATTTTAGATTTTTTGGAAGAATGTAGGTTTGAGATGACGAATCTAATCCAACCTGAGGTAAGCTTTTTCCCAAATAGCACTTATATCGAAATTTTTTTATCGCAGCTGAATTGATGTGTCATAGGATGACTCTACTGAGCAGTTGAGATCGGATAGCATTGAAGTTACCGTGGAACGTTTGAATAGGAGATTGAAAGATCTAGGGAAACAACTTCAAATTGTTGCAATGGAGCAGGTACAATTTTTTGCGCTTCTTCTGAAAAGTGCTAGTTTTTGTGCAACATGTAGAAATTCTGTAGTTAAGATTTCTGAAGTTTTACGAGCCAATGAGGATCAGGTCTTGCTGTCATCTATAAAAGCATGCGCAGTTGCGGGAGATATCGATGGAGTCGAAAGATACATGGAGAAATTCCGAGAACATGCTGAGCATATGCAGGAGGTTCGCAGTCTTCTCTTTTTATTAAGAAAGTGCTCCTTAAATCATTTTTACAGGTTTGCCGACTGCTACATCACATTTCACTCACTGATGCTTTGCACGTCAATACCGGTCATTGCGAACGAAATATGCGGTCGCTAGCACCTTTGGCAAGTTTTACATTCATAAAAGTTTCTATGATGTGCGGATCAGAAGCTTTTTTTTTGTTAGTACGGTCGTCTTCTTGATATTTAGTGTAGTTTTGTTGAAAAGATGGGAGTAGAATATTGTGTATGAAGTTTTTATGCCTTTTCTTCAAACGGGAGGAATTGATTGGAACAATCAGTCGTGAAAATTTGTTTTATAATCAAGTATGGCCGGGGCTCCACAGTAATGTGCAGTTTGATCGCTTTTTGTTTCTTTCTCTGGAATTTTTCGGCAAGAAAACTAGAAAGATGGAGAAGAGCGTTACGTTTTTTCTAAACAACATGAATTTGCATTACTTGTTGAAAATTGCATTTCTAAACTCTTGATAAGTTGATTTGCGCATCTGTGATCGATGTAAGTGATTAATGAAGTACCAATTTCCATGAAAAATTTCTTTTTTTTCAAGACCTTGCTTGCTGGGCGCACCCTATGTCAGCATCCATCAAGTCGAATAGCCCGAGAAAATTTGGAAGTATTTTGCGATACCTGGAGTCAAACGGTGACTTTTGATTTGAAGCTTTTTCTTAAAAGTTGAAATTGCCTTTTAGGTGAATGATCTTTCGCGCCTCGCTAAAGAATCGGATTCTGCTGCCTGTGGTCGTGTAGCCGCAGAAAAGCAGGCTTACATGTCTCTCCCACGCCCTGGGGTAAGCAGCACTGACTCGTCATCTTCTATTCCGCGATTCAGAAGCGCACGTGATTTACCTCTTCGAATGCTCAATAGATCATTCGAATCGCAAACGATAACACGTATGATTTGCGATTCGGATGACTCGGGCTCGAGCGCTTCCTTTGACAATCGTGAAAATCGCCGACATAAGAAGGGAATCATGACCCAAGGTGGTGACGAACTCAGTTCTGCGGCGTCAGCAAATAGCGAGGACCGAAAGGCTTTTGAGTACCGTATCAGCCTAATCCTTGACGACCTGCATAACGTATCCTTGCATGACAGAGTGGAATGAGTTGTTGCGGGTGTTGTATTGCTGCTCTCGCTGGATTGAATATTTGTATTTGTGTGCTGTGATAAGTATATTTATTTTTTTTATTTATCTGCTTCAAAAGTTTCCCATTTTAACAGAGTCCTTCATATCATATGCGTTCACTTACCAAGAGTGTGCTTTTTCATTCACTTAGAGAGGTCCTCTGCCATCTATCTTGCGGTGCTGAATTTGCATGAATATTATATTTTGTGATTGTGGTCATAAATATTTATGAGTGAAGCATGCCTGTTGTGTGTGAGATTCCCATTATTCAGAAGTTAGTAAAATTATATCTCATTAAGATCTAAAGACTCAATGTACAATAGCTAATGTTTGCTTTTTTTTGTTTCGGTTTATAGGAGCTCTGGAAATTCAGATAAGT